CTCTCTCTCTCTCTCTCTCTCTCTCTCTCTCTCTCTCTCTTTCTCTCTCTCTCTCTCTCTCTCTCTCTCTCTCTCTCCCTCTCTTTGAGGAAGAAGAAAAAATAAGCATGAGGACGATATGTTTTTAGCCGAAATGAATGGCTATGGACGAACAGAGAAGAGTCGTGGTCATGAGGGAAAAAAAACAATAACTCTCCTCTCTTTTTCTGCGTCCTGCTGACGGTGCAATAAATACTGATCAGCGATGGCGATAGACTGTCGATGTAGATTGCTGTTGAAGGTCGGACTACGGACTGGTATGAAATCCCACCTATGACACCTAGGTAGGTCTTTCTCTCCCTTGTGGGCATGGCCTTTGCCAACCCTTCCACTCTAGCCTGCTCCTCTTCTCCTCCAGCGGTACTCTATGGCTGTTGTCCTGAAAGTGGTGCTGCTCCCATCGAAATCATGCCCAACTAACTTCAACTCCAACATCTATTTGTCTTTTTGTTTTTTTTCCATTTTTGTCTCTGCCGCGACTTTTTCATACCTTGTCAAAAGAGGTGGCGCTACATTGTTCATTGCTCTATTCTTCCACCTATCGCTAACATCATCATTCCGTATCAGAATGACAGTGTGAAGATCCTTCGGAAGGATTGTCACACGTCCAGCACAGGATGCTACCAAATTAACATCTTCGAATAATCTTGTCAGCCACTGCTCAGAAAACTCGTGAAGAGCTTGGAGTGCAATAAGCTGCATGCGAGCAGTCTCATCTCTCTTCTGTGTAAGCTCGTGTACAAAATGATAAAACGCTGTCTTCGGAATCTGAAGCTTCTCGGTTTTCTGCAGTCTTTGAATTTCTTGCAGCGCTGCTTTGCCTGGAGGCATCCTCTTCTTTGGTTTCACACTTGCTTTCTTTGAACCAGGCATCGACACAGTCTTCCGAGACTGTTGAGAATCGATGGCCTTCGGTTTGGAAGCTAACCTTTTCTTTCCCCGTATTTCGGAAGACTGTTTGACCTCTTGAGCAAAGAATTGCTTCGCTTGTGCATCTATCCCCAAAAATGTTATGAGGGATGTCATGTCGGTCAAGTGTGTCATTCCGTGTGGTTGGATGAATGTTAGCAGTCCATTGGTGTAAGTCAAAGTGAAAGGGACACCAAGTGGATCAAAGAAAATCATTTCCAATCGGTCCGACTCGGGAAATTTCAGTGGACACTGTAGAGGTACCCACCCTAAAAGAGCTGAAGATCTTATATGGTCAGGAAGATGTTCATAAAAAGATTGTCCCTCGGAGCGTATCACGACTGTCGATTTTAGCACCCAGAAATCGTCATCAAAGATCTTGTCATACACAGCAGTGAACATTTGCCGTTCACTAGCAGCAATCTTCTCAAAGCAACACCTAGCATGCTCCTCTATGACTGTTGTATCGCCCACCCCGGCATTTGCGAAGCATACTTTCAAAAGGATGACCAGGAAATGGAGATGACTCATCAATCCTTCCGGGACACAGCCCAACGGAACCCAAAAATCATTATCCCCGCGTGCTGCCATCATCCATTTCCCATTATATTGCGTTGGATGCAACTTCCCTTCCACCCAATTCACAAAGTATCCCCAATTGTTGTTCACTTCCAGGAACCTGACACTCTGTATAATTGTTTTGGACACGTCGCAACAAGATGATGCTCCCTGTGAACGATTGAGAAGATCCCACGCACACTCCAACAAATTCGAATATCGCTCCCAGGATCCGCATACATCAACCACACTGCAATCATGGGTGGCAAATGAATAAGACCCATCACTCGCAAAAGACGCATACAACTCATACGGATTGCGGAAAATAGGTCAATCGTCCATCAACCTCAACAATTTCCGAGACAACAATTCTCCCTTGCTATACCTTGCCTCCCAATAGTTTCCCACAAGATTTAACACGTCCAGAACGATCTTCGAACCAACAACAGGTAATTGAAAAGGAACCCATCCGTATCTTGGATCTCTTCTCTCATCCTCCTCAGGTTCTATTTCTACATCCACATTTGACGTGCACCAATTCAACCCGCATTCCACATTATCGTAAAAGAAATCATTTAACCTCAACAACCCCTTCGCAAGCAAGGACTCGTGAAGATGACCAGCAAAAGTCATCATTCCTAACCCGAAATTCATATGGGGATACATTCGAATGACGCGGTCAAGGACAATGCAATACGTAAACATGATATACACGGTTTCTGGAATTGTCCCAAGCGACACCCAACCGTCATCACAACTCCGCATAGCAAAACAAAATTATCCGTCCCTCACTCCTGGTTGCAGCAAGTCGGGCTCCCAATTCACAACATGTTTTGTGTAAGTCGGTGGACGAAATTGCACTATGCCCGTGTGAATAGGCGCACACGACGGACAAACACCAACTTCCCACAATTTGCTAACATCGTGATGCTGCGAACAGAAGTCACTCGACATGATGATCGTATCAAACAACGAAAAAAATGAAACCTGCGTAGTAGAAAAAGAAAAGTTCGTAACAATTGAAGCATACGTCTACAACACATGAGCGCACATCGATTACAACATTCGCATGCCTTTCGGCGGACACCAATTTTTTCAAACAAAGAAACCAATTTGAAGTTTGTTTGTTTTCTTCATGTTGACTCCATAAAAGTTTGCGTAATGTTTAGGATAACCCTAAAGTCCCCGTACGATACACGACACATTGTCATGTAAGACAACAAGGACATCACTCAGTGCGAACTATCCCAACATCAATACGACTATATCATTTTGACAATTGTATTATGACATGTTTTATCATCTTCTAAGACAACTCTCTTGTTCGCATGTTTCCTTTGATTCAAAAACACACGACAATAAACGCACTATACTGCCAAGAAACGGAAATACTCCACATTCGACATTCATAATTGCACTCTCTATCGTCCTCAGAATATATCCGTTTTACCTCTCACTTCGAGTCGCACACTGTCATGACAATGACCTTCGTAGACGTATTTGGATTCGATTCTCATAACTCAATCACTTCTCCCTCTCGTCGTATTGTGCATCGTGAAAAACCAAAGCTTCAATCAATTCATCACTCCTATCTAGCAGATTATGTCTATGCTTATTAAGCTCTCGAGGCAGTTTGTCAGATGTTCCACAACTATCGAGTTTGAACTCGCTGTTCAGATGTTTGATCGTGTCAATCGAGTACATGAGCAAACCCTTGTAGCTCCTCCTCACATAAGTCTTTTTGTGTGTACTCGTCGTTGTTTGGCCACACGTTTTGCAAAATGCAAAACGGATCATCAATGCATGGTTCCAAAGGCTCACGCGTAGGTGACTTGGAATCACTTGTGCCCCCACGAGACCTTTTGTTTGTATTCGGAGGGACACATGCCACACCATGTGCTCCTTGATGACCAACCTCCAACGCCTTCAGCACGCCTACTCGCTCTAAAGTATCTTTCCACCTCGTCATTTCCCAGCGCTTGAGACGTATTTTTCGTTGTTTCATCTGATCGTTAATATAACATATATCGTCCTCTAACCACTCTCGCTCTTTCTCCAATACACGGAGTGAGTGGTAATAATTATTCACGCTTTTCAGACCCTTATCCGCCAGCGTTCGTACCCGATCCAAAAGTGTTACCAACTCAGATTTGGTGGGCACCGATTTGGTGTCCTCTCCTAATTTTCCCAGCTCTTCATCCACAAGCATCCTCACGTCTAAAATAGGATGACGAAGAGGTGGAAACCACATGTCGAAATCCCCTTTCGCTGTGGGAATTGATTTCATCGACATCGGCAGTCTTCCTGATTCCCTTCGTTAAATGCGATTACAAAAAAGTTCAACAAAAGAATTGAACCTTTATCAATACATTGAAAAGAAGATATCTTTAGGAGATTAGGATTTCAAATGTCTGCATACTTTTCCCTCGTCATATGTACCTCCATTTGCCATTTTCGCACATAGACGTGCAACTCTCTCTCTCTCTCTCTCTCTCTCTCTCTCTCTCTCTCTCTCTCTCTCTCTCACACACACACACACACACACACACACACACACACA